TGTTGCAGCTTCTTACTTCGACTGACCACCAACAAACAACTAAAAAAGAAATGTAGAAATTTAAAATAAACAAACCACTGGATTCCTTGGGACGACACCCTCTGTGACCTCATAGTTCTCGAGCAGCACTTCTTACCTTGACCAATAGTCAACAAACAATTAAAAGCTAAATGTAGAAATTCAAAATAAACAGACACAAGTGGATGCCTTGGGACGATCCCCGCTGTTACCGTATAGTGCTCGAGCAATGCTTCTATAACACCTGTTCATCGACAGCTCGATTTACATGAGTTACCACTAACAGATATTTTGCTTTGAAAATCGGTCATAAAACATAAAATTTCATACATGACAAGTAAAACATGTGAATCAAGTATATTTTACAACACAAAATAATCATTTTCAACAACAAAAGCACATGTACTTAAAACAAACTTAGAAAAGGATTCCTTGTTGTCTCGAGCCTGCTAGTCTCGTCCGCGATTGGCCTACAACTTCTTATTTGGCCAAAAAAGTTAAAATAATCTTGATAAGTAATTAATTTACTATAACACGTGCGTAAGCAATTTGGATCTTAGGCACTCTAAGTACATCAATTATAGTAAATTAGCTAGCATGTTCAAAAGCATTAGAACTCAATGCGTTTGAATACTAACCTTTTGTAGTTCAAATTCCTTTTTCCTCACGAACGGTTTTGAACCACCACTAGTGTCTTTCCTACTATTCTCCGGCCTTAGAACGGGATTGTGGAATCCGGTGAGTGATGAAACTTGATAGGAATTTAGTATATGTAAAGAGAGAGCTTTGATAGATTTTTTCAAAGCTTGTGAAGAAGAATTTCCATGTACCTTGATCACTCTATTTATAGAGTTATATTTGCATGTTCATGCAAATTTTAGATTACCAAATTTTGACACTCAAAATTCCACTCAGTCTATTTATAGAGTTATATTTGCATGTTCATGCAAATTTGAGATTACCAAATTTTGACCCTCAAAATTCCACTCAAATTTGTGGGATTATGTGGCAAGCATGCAAATTTGAGTTAACCAAATTTTGACACTCAAAATTCCACTCAAATTTGTGGGGTTTATTTGGCAAACATGCATGTTTGGTTAAACCAAATTTTGACACTCAAAATTCTACTCAAATTTGTGGGATTATGTGGCAAACATGCAAGTTTGGTTAAACCATATATTGACACTCAATCTTCCACCAACTCACACGTGGATTTGTGAATAAACATTTTGACTTTCTTTATTTTAATTCAACAATTAATTTAAATAATTAATTTCAAATCAAAATAATATTAAATGATTAATTAAACAATTTAATTAATATTTAACATTAAATAAAATGTCAATCCCAATCAATTCGGGCACATATTGATTATGAATCAGTATTCATCATCAAAATATTTAAATCTTATTTAAATATCTCCAATTCTCTCTTTTTGTTCAATTTATAATAAAAACAAAATGAGGATAAATATATCGTATATATTTAGCATGTATTCCCTAATTTGAATTCAAACACTTCGAACTCACTCGTCACACTGTTCCAAGGTTTAGTCCAATATGAGCTAGCAGAGGGACCTAATGGACCTACAGATCATGGGCTCCAATGATCTGAGATTAACTGGCTAAACTAATTAACCTTGTTAACCAACATTCGTTAACTACTAGGACACTCCACTATAGCCTAGTAGTTGCACTCCCCCCACTATAGATATATTTCTGTCCATTTGATATAACAATGATTAATAAGTCGATTCTTCACAAGTTGTTCGTAAGCAGAGATGGGTCAATTTACCGTTTTACCCCTAAAGTTACTTTTTGTTCCTTAAGTCCCACTGATCCTCTAATGAACAATCAGTTTGTGGTCCAACCACCAAAGCGAATCGCTCTCGGGCCAATGAGAGGGTGGAGTCAGTACTTAAGGGAACAACCTCTTTACTATCCCTAAGAGCGGGTAGGAGTGAGTTCCATCATACACCCTATGTCTCCAGCTATTCACCCATTCTTACCCCTGAAATAGGAGGCTTATTAAGTCGGCGAACTCGGGCCACTCTCACCCATGTAAATCTAAGGATAATTTCGAATAAACAAGAGTTCGTAGTTATCTCAGGATTAAGATCGAGTTACCTAGGTCATCAAATGAAAAAAATCAGTCTCAACAGTAAACCGCATTATAAAGTGAGAGTTGTTTTCTTCATGGTTCGATCTTATGCAATACTCATTGCATAGGACGCCCCCACTCACATATCTCCACATGTACAATTTAGTGATCACATTGTTTAAATCATATACAAAAGTGGGTCGCATCCACAGTGTCCCCATAATAAGGTACTCAGCCTTATCTCTGTACTATAGATCATTTTGACTATATACTTGAACTTGATCCACTCTTATGTCTCTACATATAGTACAAGTAATCATACTATAGCCAGAGTGTTCTTAATTTATTAGATTTAGATTAATGATCGTAACATTCACTTTTTTCAATAACAATCTTTACTGAATAAACATCAATAAAAACTTTATTGAAAACAGAATATGTTTTTGTTTACCAACTATGAGTTGTAGGACATAAAACCAAACTGATATGAACAAAGAGACATCAATCATACAATATACTTCAATGAAGATCTGAACAAAATATTGTTGAAATTTTCAAAAGATGTTTCAATTCATGCCACATTGGAGAAGAATGAAGTTTGATTGTTACAAATTTTGGGTGGGTTATAGTTTAGAGTAATTTAGAGTTATTGTATTTTAAGACATTTTATTTACTTTAGGTTACATTTACATAATGGATAATTATGGTCATTAAGTATGAATGTTACAACTTTTGGAATGCATTTAATAGTTTCATTTTGAGGCTATATAAAGTCATGTATGTTGTATTTGTAATGTAGACTTGGAAAATATAGTAAAAAAAGCATTTGTGCTCTTCTTTAGCCAATGGCTAAGTTTCTTTGCAATTCTATGTAGTTTAGGTTGCATGTAGAATCATTCAAGCTCAACATGATCAATCTTGCTTGTGGAGTGATTCGAATCTCAATCAAGTGTTCTTGCATTGAGATATTTGATCAACAAGAATCATTCAAGTTAGACATGATCGATCTTGCTTGTGGAGTGGTTCGAATCTCAAACAATGTTCTTGCCTTGAGATATTCGATCAACAAGGTAATTTGAATCTTATTCCCCTTGTATTGATTCCATATCATATCAGTTTCCATCCAACCCTTCCACGCCAAATTGGAGTTAATAAAGAGTACTCCAAAACGACTTATAATTCACAATCTACGACTTGACAATCTATATTTTATTTACATGTCCTTAGAATGCGAGTTGTTTTTTCTTTTCTCAATATTAACTTTGTATTTGTTAAGGATAGTTACCATTCATTATAAGGAAAATATCTAGATATATGCCTTACATTACGGCTTACCATATTTGTCCTTTTATTAAAGGTAAATATATTGTATTCATTTATTATTCTTTTCTTTTATTGCTATTTCCATATTATTTGTAATTTACCATATTTCTGTATTCTGTAAATGATTATAAATAAGAGAACTCTCACCACCATTTAGGTGTGGTGGATTAATCAAACATTCACATGGTATCAGAGCCCTTTCGGTTTAAAAACCCTGATCCTTTCTTCTCTATGGCTTCCGAATCTTCTTATCATCTTCTTCCTTTCAATACTCTAATCCATATGATCACCATCAAACTTTCTTCCTCCAATTATCTTCTTTGGAAAAGCCAACTTCTCCCTCTCCTTGAGAGTCAAGACATGTTGGGCTATGTTGATGAAACTATGATTCCACAACCTCGCTTTGAACCAGAAACCTCCTCAACACTCAACCCCAAATATTTGGCATGGAGAGCAGCCGATCAACGACTTCTCTGTCTCCTGCTCTCCTCTCTCACTGAGGAAGCCATGGCTGTTGTCATTAGTCTCTCTGCTGCACGTAATGTTTGGCTTGCATTGAAAACTACGTTCAGCCATCAGTCAAAAGCTTGTGAGCTGAGACTCAAGGATGACTTGCAGTTGATGAAACGTGGCACCAAACCTGTTGCTGAGTATGCCTATACCTTCAAAAAAATTTGTGACCAACTTCATGCCATTGGCAAACCTGTCGAGGACATTGATAAAGTGCACTGGTTTCTTCATGGACTTGGCACCGAATTTTCAGCTTTTTCTACTGCTCAGATGGCTCTCACCCCTATCCCCTGTTTTGCAGATTTAGTCTCTAAAGCTGAAAGTTTTGAGTTGTCCAGCACTTTCTTGAGTCCTCTGACTCCACTCCTACAGCATTCACAACCACTAATTGTGGTCGCACCCATGGAAGCCATTCTGCTTCCTTTAGCAACCAGCGAGGTCGTTCTTATTCTCACAAAAACAACTCTTCTAATCGAGGACGAACCCACTAGGTCAGGGTCATTGACCACCTCATTGCCAAATATGCCGCAAAGAGGGCCATTATGCTGACCGCTGCAACCAATGGTATGTTCGACCTGATTCTTCTCATGCTCACCTTGCTGAAGCCTTTAACACGTCATGTTCTATTGAGGGACCCGATGCTACTGATTGGTTTCTGGACACTGGGGCTTCAGCCCATATGACTGCCGACCTATCTATTCTGGATCAGTCTAAAAATTACACGGGTAAGGACTCTGTGATCGTAGGAAACGGTGCATCCCTACCCATTACCTCAGTCTAAAAATTACACGGGTAAGGACTCTGTGATCGTAGGAAACGGTGCATCCCTACCCATTACCCACACCGATACTCTTTCTCCTATTCCAAATATTCACTTATTAGATGTCTTGGTTGTCCCCCATTACCCACACCGATACTCTTTCTCCTATTCCAAATATTCACTTATTAGATGTCTTGGTTGTCCCTCACCTCACTAAAAATCTTCTTTCATAAGTAAATTAACGTCTGATTTTCCTCTCTCCGTTACATTTACTAATAATCTTATTACTATCCAGAATCGTCAAACAAGAAGGGTGGTGGCAACCGGTAAAAGAGATGGAGGGCTATATGTGCTGGAGCGCGGCAACTCTGCTTTTATTTCAGTTCTTAGAAACAAATCTTTACGTGCTTCATATGATTTATGGCATGCTCGTCTGGGTCATGTGAATCATTCTGTTATTTCTTTTTTAAATAAAAAAGGTCATCTTTCTCTTACGTCTTTATTACCTTCTCCATCATTATGTAATACTTGTCAGCTTGCGAAAAGTCATCGATTGCCTTATTCCCGCAATGAACGCAGGTCGTCTCATGTGTTAGATCTTATTCATTGTGATCTTTGGGGTCCTTCTTCTGTCAAATCAAATTTGGGTTTTCTTTATTATGTTATTTTTATTGATGATTATTCTCGATTCACTTGGCTTTACACTTTAAAATTTGAATCTGATTTTTTTTTATATTTTTCTTCAATTTCAAAAATTTGTGAAAAATCAATATTTTTCTCATATCAAGGTATTTCAAAGCGATGGTGGTACCGAATTTACTAGTACTTGTTTCAAAACTCATTTACGTAATTCTAGCATCCACCATCAACTCTCTTGTCCATATACACCTGCTCAAAATGGTCGTGCTGAGAGAAAACATCGTCATGTGACTGACACTGGCTTGGCCCTTCTCTTTCACTCTCATCTTTCTCCTCGTTTTTGGGTTGACGCCTTCAGCACTGCAGCTTATATTATCAACTGGTTGCCTACTCCACTTCTTGGAGGTAAGTCGCCCTTTGAACTTCTTTATTGCTACACTCCACATTATGACAATTTTCATCCCTTTGGTTGTCGTGTTTATCCTTATTTGCGTGATTATATGCCTAACAAGCTTTCTCCCCGTAGCACTCCTTGTATTTTTTTGGGTTATAGTTCTGCTCATAAAGGGTTCCGCTGTCTTGATCTTGCCACCACTAAGCTATATATCACCCACCATGCTCAATCTAATGAAACTCACTTTCCTGTTATCTCTATCTCCTAGGCCCAACCTCTTTTCTCTATTCCTATTTCAAATTTCTTGGAACCACATCTTTATCATATTGATTCATCCCCCCTACCTGATATGAACCAAGAGACATCATTCATACAATATACTTCAATGAAGATGTGAAGAAAATGTTGTCAAAATTATCAAAAGAGGTTGCAATTCATGTCACATT